GTCTGACTTGCGTATTAATACAAATGGTTAATTAGTGTTTCACTTGTATTTTGTAAATGTTAAATGACAAAAAGTGTTACGTAAATGTAACGTTTGGATGTTTTATTTTAATCGGGCCACGTAAACAACATAGACTTTCGTGTTAAAATTAGCAGTTACAATTAAAAAAAAGTGGCAACACTTTCTTTCACCGTCGCGATATGATGTATGTTATACGACTCTTTCTTATATTACATTGTGTTTTACAGTCCAGCATTACGAGGTAACTTTTATGATATAAATTGTTATTCTCCCACCATAACAAACCAATAATAATATATATGATTTTATATATATATATATATATATATATACTTTAAAAAGAAAGAAAGAAAATTTATAATTTTGTCTCATTGTTTTCTTCGGTAACTTGTCGAGTGGCCTTAAGCATCCGATACGTACAACTACGTACAACTTGAAATAAATATTATTGAGTGCCTCACTATCACCATGGAAGGTGTGATAAGTATTATTAGGAGACGTAGACGACAGGAGCATGTATTATCACGCAGATGCATTCTGCGGTCACTGCGGGATGCCTCCAACCTGTTTGAAATTTCTGCCATGCGAACAGCATGCAAATAGACTAATGCCGGACATGGCCCTGGCGTTAGTTACAGAAATTAAGCCCTTCTTAACTGAAGGCAACAAATGTTTTTTTTGCATACCTCCAGAAATACACTAAATAATTTTAAATTCTCGCTCGACAGTTTCTTTTGCGCCTGACAATTAAGGGTGTTTACAAAGCAAGAATGTAATATGAAAGTCTCTTATTCTCTTAAATAAAGTCTGGATTTTGTTTAATTTTATTAATTTATTTTAATGTAATTAAGACTTATACATTCTTATAGTTTAACCATTTAAAGTCTTAAAAATATATGTTAAAGGATTTTCATTTTTAACCGACTTCAAAAATGGAGGAGGTTCTCAATTCGACTGCATGTTTTTTTGTATGCATGTTACGCGTAAACTCCGGTATTTGTGAACCGATTCTCATGATTCTTTTTTGTTGGAAAGGGGGTACTTCCATAGTAGTCTTATTTCATTTTGAAGAAAATCTTTCACCTCTAAGGGTGGCTGTCCACGCATGAAGATTCATTTTTATAAATAGTGCCTAAATTTTACTACGGAGCAATTATTTTTATGGTTGATTTTCCTATTTCTCCAATTCAAGGCGTTTTTCTCTCCATATACTTTGAGTAGTGAGAACCGATTTTTATTATCTCCAGTGTCAAGTCATGTATAGTGGCGAATTTAAGGATAGTTCAATAAAACTTAGCAAATAGACGTAATTCCACGTACTTTTGAGGTCGGTTTTTTTAGTACTCTGTACTGAGATTATTCTACTATTTCACCGACTAAATCCGTAAACGCTGTTGGATAACGACATCGGCTCCGAATCCGAATCGAACGTTTAACGTGAATGTTCTGAATATCTCGGAAAGCGTTCTTCGATTCGAGAACGTTATCCAACGTTATCGAACGATTCGATTAAAATATCAATGAGTTCAGAGTCGGGCTGCTGAACTATGAGTACCAGAGCAACGCAATTCACTTTAGGGCACTTCCCAAAATGCCCAGACCAACAAATTTATAAAAGTTCATTTCCAAATTCCTTCCAATGGTCCTACCGGGAATCGAACCCGTGACCTCCTCATCCAGCGTCCACAGTATAAATAAACATTTGCGCCACTGAGGACGTCATAGTAACGTGTGATAATACGAAAAATAATATTTAAACTAATACGTACAAATAATACTTTTAAGTACACGAAATACCCAAGCGTCTAAGAAATGAAAATAAGTAATTTTCCACTTAGGGCAAACTTATGACAAACGGAATATGAAGTTCAAAAATGTCCGTACAACAAATTACCTGGTATTACAAAAGAAACTAAAAAACGTATATAAATTATACAAGTTACCTAAAACCCATTTCGAGTTCTCAGGTCTCAGGAAATGAAACTATTTTTCGGATGTAAATCGTGTATATTTGTTTTTTCAAACAAACCAACGTTTTGGGCCCTTTACAAAATCCCATGGTCACAGCTGGCGTCAGTTCAGTCATCACAGTCATTGTTGGTTTCTTTGAAAAAACAATTATAAGCGATTCAGGACCCCGATTCCGAACTTCGATATTTTAACCGAATCGTTCAATTTGGTGTCGTTCTCGAATCGAAGGGCGATTTTCGAGCTATTCAGAACATTCGAGGTAGACGTTCGACTTGGATTAGGATACGATATCGTTATCCAACAGCATTTACGGAGTTAGTCGGTGAAATAGATTATAGGAAAAATGAAAATCCTTTTATATACATATTTAAGACTTTAAAGGCCTAAAATATAGGAATGCATTAGTATTGCATTAAAATAATTTAATAAAATTGAACAAAATCCAGACTTTATTTAAAATAATAAGAGATTTTCATATTACATTCTTGCTTTGTAAACAATAGGGCGATCGGTAATTTTCATTCGATAACTGTGTTCTGAATAACGTTTGTAGCCTTTGCCGGTCGAGAAGTTCGAGTAATATAACGGGTGTGATGTCATTTCGTTTCGGTTTCGAATACGACAGTTTGACGTTCGATTCGGTTATTGTGAATAAAAATGAAAAGAAGTCGTATATATCAAATCGAATCCGTCGACGACGTAGTTATTGTAAGGTTCTGAATCGACCCCCAAGATCCGAAAAATTGTTTCACTTCCTAAAATCCATTTATTCCAGCAAAATAATCAAATAAGTAACAACACGTAAAATATTACTAATTAAAATCAAGTTTATCATTTCAAGCAATTACTGATCTGTGTTATACGTTTCACTGCCTTCGTAGTTTCAACGTTTGCCCTGGTTCGGACTTACAATGTTTCAAATTTACCTACATCAATAAAATGGAAATAGCACTATCGAAAATGTTTATTGTAAATGTGTATGTATAATTTCTTTAACTGTCTCCGTGGTCGGTTACCTCGTTCGATTCCCAGGTCGAGAGGAATATTTGTATGGCTTATATTTATTTCTTTATTTGGTTGTAATTTGCGGTTGTCTTCGTGTGTGTCCATGGCACCCGTGAAACCGGGTTTGCTTAGTGCCGGGCTATGCTTGTTATATTATTATTAATATGTGTAACAATCGCGAAAGCCTAAGAACGCGATATTTTTTTTTTGTAAGTAAACAATAGTTATTTGTTAAGAATACGCTCGCGTATCGATAATTACTTCTTAGTGTTTAGTCTTTTCATGCATCGATGACATGCTTACAATAAATAATACTTGACACGGTGGAGAAACAATTTGCCAATTGGCGTAAGGTACAGACGCACAGCTGGAAAGGCTTCGCTTGATACGTTTGTCGTGCGCGGAGGCTCCTTTCGTGCACCCCCTTTTAATTATTAATTTGTAGTTATTCCATAACTTTTTGTTTAGTGAATTGTAAATTCTTACGAAAATAAAGTTTCTTACACCCGAAAGATTATCAATATTTATTGTTATTATACATAATGTATAATTAAATTGACTTCACAATTTTAATTTGAAAAATGGGCTTGTCTAAAGGGTTATTTGTCTTATGTCATAGACTCCTTTGCCTATCTAATAAACATTGTTAAAATTACATTTTAATGTGCCAATCGTGTCACATTTTATAAGTTTATTTTTAGAGCAGTCACCACATTACAAAAAATAATAATGCCTGCATCACATTGAATGAAAAACAGATACCTGTTAATTTTATTTTATTTCATCGTTTAAAAATTCTGGGGTACAGAGCTCAAAATAAAATTTTGCGTAATTCAATTTAACAGCTAGCCGGCTCGAAGGATCAGAAATTAAGTTATTTTGGAATACGAATAAACGGCTAAAGTACTACATAATTGAAAATTAAAGTAGCTATAAGAATAAGAACGTTTCGATAATCGTATGTACCACACACCGAATGAATTTCTTTGTGTTATTAATTTAAATCATCAAGTACATTCATAAATATTTGGTTTAATCAAACTCTATAAAAATCTCGAAACAAGCCCGTCATTGATTTGCTATTATGCACAAATAAATAAGGAACGCTCTTAACGTACATTACCCGAACGAAACGAATTAACCTTTGCTTTGTGATAGCGTAGTAAAAGAGTTATTTCAGGGTCCTATCCCGCTATCTGCTCGACGCAGTCCGAACGGATTGCGAAGTTTGGGATTACAGTTTGTTCGGTTAGTAGCGAATGGTGTTCGCAACTTGTTCGGGTATGCTGTCTTATCTCTTTGCGTAGTGGACGTGCGTAACTGCCGCCACGCCCCCCGCGTCGTCTTCGCAGGAGGCTGCGCGCGCATTCCCATTCCCATAAGGGTCTGATCATATGAATTGATCTTTCTACGATAACGACGATCTTAACAATTTGCTCTACAGTGTATACATATACTGAGCCTGGCCTAAATTTACTTGATGTATATACGAAAGGCATTTAGCCTATTTTTTAAATTAATTTATTTTCTTCGTTGTTTGCTTGTACTGTGGTAAGTTACCGTTGTATATGAAATCGTAAGAATAGGTAAAAGTTTATAATTTGTTTACCCTTAGCCCTTGAAAATGCACCAAGTCCAGTAGCGTCTGAGGGAGAACCGGGTAATGTCACAATCGCGCGCTTTTTTTATGGGCCTGTGGAATGAGCTCTTCGGAGTGCCTGCCGCCGGCCGATCCATATGATTAAGTACCTAACATTTTGAAATTTAATTATTAAGAAAATGAATTATTAATTTTAATAAAAAAAATATATTCGTCTTCCTATAAAAAGCAACTACTGTCAAATATTATTTACGTTATGATGCTGCATACATGTGGCCGTTCCCTTATGAAGTGACGTTCGGGAGATGCGTTGGAAAAATCTCTAGCTAGAATCAGCAGCGCAGCGCCACGGTTCGGTCGCCGAAATCAAACAAACGTCACGCGTGCGCACCACGCGCCATCTAGCGGCGCGCCCGGCGACCACTCACCTGCCGCGCGCCCTCGTCATCCCGCGACATTCTCCGTCGCGCTCGCACCAAAGTCACGTAAAAATAACCTCAAAACAGCTCCGACGGACCAATGACAAAAATATTGTCCTTCGATCATTAAACTAACAGTGACAGAAACTATTAACGCATGTGCTGAACGTGACGTAATTGCAGCATCAATAAATTCTTAATCCACAGTGATATTGTCAAAATCGAAAGTTTGCGAAGGACAAGATGATCAATTTGGTGGGCTGTCGTCGGGCAGCCCCCGAAAATAGTGGCATAATGTGGTGGTGTATTTTATTCTGTGTTGTAAACATTAAAATATTTGGAGTATTTGCTGCAAACACCACTGGAGTTTCACACGGCAGTAAGTATAAATATACGTTTTATTTACGTTTTCTTTTTTGAAACTATAAATTATTTACTTTAAGTACATTTAATTAATTCCGCGTGATATTTTTGCAATTATAATGATTTTCGTTACGTATTGTAACGAATAAAAAAATACGACCTTAAAATTTCCATGACAATGTAGTAAATGGCAACAATACAAATAGCAAATCACCTATAAGATGGAAATACCTCTTACTTTACAAGGTACTAATTGGCTTATTTTTATTAACTCGAAACTGGTTTGTTACGGCAACTATGCACGTGGTTCCAATACATAACGCATATATGTGCAGTTGTTGACAATGTTTGGAAAATGATAGAGGAATCAAAATCAGATACGATAACAGGAAAAATGCAAGTCACCTTCTAAGTACTCCCATAAGTGGCAATGGAATATGGATAATAGAATTATAATGGCTATCTATACTCCAATAAGAAAATTGAAACATTATTGGCTTATAGCCATGCTATAAGCCAATAATGAAGTGTAAGAGAAAATAAGCATAATATATGCTTATTTTCTCTTACACTTCAATTTAATAAAAACACTAATGAAATATAATTATGGCACTTTCTCCTATTTAAAAAGCTAGTAATGTAATAAGATTGAACATAATTTTGAATTGCCTCAAATATTTCAATTTGGAATACAATATTATTGCCCAAATAACTTAGTTTTTATAATACGAACTTGTTTTATGTAACAAATGACCGTGTATTTGATCGTAAACATCTGTTTTGCATTAATTCACGGGTTCGCGTCGACGTGAATTGTAAATATAATTGTGCAAACTTGGTATCGGCTGCCAGAGTTCCAGTTCTTTAAAGAAAAGTAAACAACATTACGCCAACGGCTTTAATTTATAATAAAAACATAGATTTTTCTGTTTTATTATTTTAATGTTATGAAATTTATCTTATAACACCTTCTTAGACTATGGTCCAGAGCGACTTTTAGAACAGGTAGTGACATTAAAACAAGAAACTCAATTAGGAAAACAATTAATTGTGTGGTCATACCTACCACGCTCATGCCTCACTCATGTAAAAATACATAATGCGTCATTGTAATTTACTCATAACTCCTTAGCTTGTCATATAACAGATCAATTTGTTACCTACGTGTGTGTTCGCAATTAACCATGCGATATCCATGCATTTGGTATAAGTTTACTAACGCCGTACAATATATTTATTACACCCATGGCATGTATCATGTGCCAAGTTACATAAATAGATCGTATAAACATATCTACGGCGACTTTAGAAATAATATTTTTCTGAATCAGTGCAAAGTTCAATACTGTGGCGAGAAGCCAATAATGCAGTAAAGATACTTTTATTTTTTTGTAATGAAATAAGATAATATTACAAATTATCGGAAAACTGATAAAAAACCTAATGATTTTTATCAATGCGAATAAAACAAAGGTTCGCACAAACAATCACGGCGTCAAAAGGTAGATAAAACAATTACAAGTTTATAATATATGCATGATTAGATTTGGTGTCTAAAGTAGACTATAGATGTTAGTTGTACAAAAAGCTTTAGTTGCAAATTTGGTAGCTGTCCGAATCGAAAGCACTTAGTTTTGACTGTCTCAATTTTGGCCTCCCACAGCTGACGCGACGACCATAAAAGTCCGCTGATGAAAAGAGCACAATCCCATTGTGATAGCTATAAAACGGGCTTTGTGCCCGAAGGAGGCGTCATTATGTGAAAAATGAAAAACGAATCGCACTTGTCATATTCAGCCCCATTTTATTAGAGACAACCTCTGGCTTTGTGAATTTGTCGATTGATTCATAGAATTTTTATTACCGCAGACGCTTTCGTTTCTACCGAGGAAATAAAATCAACGAAGTTTTTTTGAGCGAAATAATAACGGTACATTTTGGTATCCTTTTGGAAGATTAAAGAATAACAAATGGCTCGCTAAGATATTTGTCAAAAGCAGTGAAGCTGCAATTTAAATAATATTGGCGAAAATTCGCTACTTGCAAAAGTGTTTTATATAAGATTGGAGTGTGGCACCAGCTGCACAAAATTTTGTAGCGAAGGGACAAGTGTTGATTAGACAAGGAAGAGTCGGAACTTTTTGTATTCGTTTATTACAAAAGAGCAAAAGTCAGCAGACAGCCAAAATACGGGCACGAAATATTTAATGAACAATGGAGATTATTCAATAGCAACAAGAAGCAATGTACGTAGACGTGAATTTACTTTAGGGCATATTTTCCTGTTTATCTAGCTCACATTACGTATAACGAAAGCCAATTTTTCCTTTTCCCGACGGCATCCAATATCATCGCAACAGTCAGCCCATCGCCGTCCATTACTGAGGTGACGCGCGATGAGGGTTTCCGAACTGCTTGTTTCTAGCAAATACGCAATAACGTATGTCGTAAACACTAAAAGCTCATAAAATTGATGCAGAATAAAATGGAATGAAATACATTGTCAATTATGAAGCAAAAGCGATAAAAAAGTTAAATTTCGTTGAAACCAAAATTGGTAAACCAATATTTCAAGTCGTCCGCAATAGAATATCTAGAATATGTTCAGAGTCCAATTAATGTAATCTCAAAATTTTGTATTCATGTCCTCTTGCTTTGCATGGAGTTGTTATAATTGTATAGCGAGTCTTCAATTAAATGCAAGCAGCTTGTGCTCGAAGTTTGTTTTGTGAGAGTAGTTCTGACTAAATGTGCATAGTACAGAATTCACTTGCCTTGTTTCGAACTTGTTGAACGAAGTTCAGTATTCACTCCAAGGATTAGTTATAGAAGATTGTGTGTTTGACATTTGACACGACTGCAGAAAAATGTTATTTTATATTTCAATAGGTGTCCGAGTCTTTTTAATTTAATTATTAAGTGGTTTACTTCGTTTGAATGATAACCGCTTAATTAGATCAGCTGCCAAGACCAATGCGACACTTAACGTCGACCTCAATTCTGTATTGGACCGTTGTCATTAAGCCTTACTGCTGCCCTACGCTGATGATATAGATAGACAGTCGTTCGATAAACGAGGGTTAGATCGGGAATACTGGAAACCATTTCGCCATCTGGCACTCGATTTTAAGCTCTTGACACATGACGCCTTAGTTCGGGTTTTGTCCGTGTCCAAATTCACTATAAGCCACTTGTTCCTTGGGTCGGCAATTGGTTTCGAGCGGGTATTAATTGTAACTGCTTCGGATATTGAAGTGACCATATCCCAATCGACGTTAGTATTGGTTTGATATGTCCTTGTTGTTCAATATATAATTTTTTTTAAATTTATTACAATTATGTTTAAAACGTAGTAAATTTATTGTGTTAGTTATTCGTGTTATGTTCTAATTATCGCTATTGTTATTCTATGTGTATAGCAGAACTTATGTTAAAGTTTCATTTCAAAGTTATGCATTTCGACTAATTATCTTACTAATTCTCCCACATATTTGTCTTCGAAGCATGTTGTAGTCAATTAAGACGATTTAATTGTAACAAAGCCTAAGTTTGGCACTTTCTACCCTAATTTCGTAGTTCAACAATCCCAGAAATGTGAGCATTTACTCCATTATATTTAATAGCGTTACCTTCTGTATGTAACTTTTAACATTTATCAAAGTGGCAGCACCTGCTTTTATAATAAATGGTAACATTGTTTATTTCTTTCGCAACAATTGCGTGTTAAAATATGCTTTTTTATCCTTAACTTTTAAATGTGAAGTGTGTTGTTTTTTTATTTAATTTGCATTAAGTCACGTACCACTAACGACTACTGCTGGTTTATATTTTATCAAATTTTATTTTAAACAAAGAAGTTTTAACTACTTTATGTCTAACATTTAACAAGAGAATTATTTATTGTTTGCAACGGTTTGTAAGACTTACTGTGATCTCTTGTTAAAATTGTGTGCACGTTCCTGTTTATGGCGTGCCCGCAAATCTGGCGTGAAAAGTTAGCACATTAACAGAGCTGGAAAAAGTCAAAGATGAGAAAAGTTGACGTCGACTTCACCGTATAGATATTAATTGTGTAGCGTTATGTTACGACTTCATTTCTTCAGAGGTATTAAGAAAAGGGAGATGTCAGGAATGTCAGGCGTTTAAAGAAAATTCGTCTGTACCAATTTATGCACCTAAACCTGGCTTTTACAAAAATGTTATTTTATCGTTGGTTAACATTTGACACGTTCCCACCTCATATATTGCAATAGGTGTTTTTCAGTTTAACTGAAAATGCAGACATTCCGAAAAGGAGCAACTAACGAGAATAGTTAAACGGACCTGTAATTTGCATACAAATTGGCTTTCTGGGATAAACGCTCCATTTGTATTCAAACACAGGATCCCGGCTCTGTGTCTGAAGAGCATTTATTCAGTTCAGGATTTGAATCTCCCGCACTATCAACGAGTCATCGATGTCTTAACGGATCGGACTTCATTTGCAAAAGCAACGTAACAAGAAATATATAATTGCAGCTTTATATTAACATGTGGTCACTTTCATAATATTCTCAAGAGAAAAATACATGCATAATTGGTCTGATATGAACGAACTCTATTAGAGGTATGTAACTGCATCAGTAAAATTCTTATTTAACAGGACTAGAATTACCATTCGAAACTTTAATGCTCTTGTTGTCTTGTAAAATAAATATACGATTCTTTATAATTAGCATAATGATACTGCGTTGTTCTTACTCAAGACCTCAAGTGTCAGATAGCATAATGGCGGTTTTGTCACTTGATCCTGATAGATCGTAAAAAGACAATACTGCTCGATATGAGTCGCGAGGTGAATAGCGCGTGACATGGTTCGGGCAATATAGTAGAAAAATGATTTTGGAGAAGTCAGATTTGAGTAAGGAGAGACTTTCTTTGTGGATCACGAACACAGAGATTTTATTTCCCAATATCATTTTGAGCACGTGATCTGGTCACTCATTATGTCACATCTTTATTGTGTAGCCTCAACGT